CCTTTCTGCCGTCCATTTGAAAGATTGAACCGGACTTTCACTTGAAACCGGACATTCACCTGAAACTTTCGGCTGCTATCGGCAAACATTTCACCGCAGCTGGATCATCTCCTATGTCAAATACATGAGGTAAATTCTCGGTTGAAACTCTGCATTTGAAATTTTCGCTATAACTTTTAGATTTACACTTACAGACGCAGCGAAAATCGTTACAAGATGCCTCATTCGCCGTCTTCTTTTTAAAACTTCTTTGGCAGTTTCGCTGAACGAACACTGGCAACTTGAAGGGTAAAGGAGAGCAATTTTGTTCAGGATATCTCCCGGGGTTATTGACAACAGGCGATAATAAGAGAACATCAAGATGAGAAATCTTACACCGAAAAAATCACTCGGCCTTTCGCGCGCTCCTCGCCCCCAGGATTTCGCGCGGCCATTTTTTTCTCGCAGTTTTCTTTCGCGTCAAGCACGACGGACTAAGCGAAAGAGGGACTACTCATAGTTTAGTCTGTTTTAGACACAGACTGCGTACTGCAGAGGACACAGACTGCAGACTGCGTATACTGCAGCGGACTGCAGAATAACCCTGACTCGTAGTAATATTGGCCATAAATAACCTTGGGCTACTATTATCCCTGTAACACTAATTATTTAGTTATATTTAGTTAGCGATCCATGCTCAGTACAACACGAGAGGCGTTTATTTTTCTATTAGTTATTACTGTGCAAAGCACAACACAAACTGTTGCAGGTTCTGTTTGCTTGGGCTGAACAACAAAGTTAGCTGGGACTGGTTGACCTGTTGTCTGGGTTCTTTTTAGTGCACCCTGAGAGATGATGTGGTTCAACTGAACTAGTTTCAAATGGTTCCATGGTTCCGACGTTTCTTCTTGTGCAGTCTACTATCTTCTGTTCTGAGGACTTCGTAAGAACGAATGTCAACTTGGTCTTAATTCTACTCGTTCCTTAAACCATTCCTGCTCCCTTTATTCATGATCACCTGCTCAGACGACGTCTCCTGTCTGTGAAGACGGATCTCCTTGGTGTTTTGATTGCAATACTAGGTCTGTTTTGACTTCTAGATCTGTTTCGAAGTTTCTCCATCAAATCTACTTGGACTTTTGGTTTTAACAGGTAAATGGTGGTGGAGAGCCGTGTTCTTGTTTCGCGTCCGAACATCCGTTGAGCGGCGTAGCTAGACCTCTCCTTCAGGAGCTAGACCTTCCTTCAGGTTTTTTTTTTTCTAGCAGGGATAAGTAATTGTCTGTGCTGCTTGCTTAGCATTCTTCATGATGGATATTCCTTTCTTCAGTGATGGCATTTAAGCCTTGCCCTTGCTCTTGACATAGTTAGGTGAACTTGAGATGACTTCAAACTCGAAGGGCGCTGCGAGTTCCTTGAACTCTTGAAAATTAAATGGCATGTTTTCGCTGATTAGCTGGTTTGGGATTCATTGGACTGAAAACTGCTTGCGGAGTATCTTGGCTATCACCTTCGCGGTCTTGCTTTCTAGTTTATTCACTTGAACAGTAGTCAACCACACAATCTGTAACATCAAGTGTGAAAACATTGAGTGTAAAAATATCTGCGTCAATTTTTTGCCAAGATCGATTCAGCAATGACAGATAAAAAGAATGAACGGATGTCGCACTTCGAACTGTGGTCAGTTAGGTCGGAATTCAGTCCTGGCCTATACACGGTCTCTCTTTCCAGTCGGAGACAACTTTGAATTCCTGTGTGGGTTCCATGTATTTCCCCATTAATTCTTGTGCGTAGACTCAAGGGAATGACACAGCGCTGACCTTTGAAGATTAGATCATCTAACCTTGATAGCTTATCTCTAACTAGGAAATACTGATGGAGACATGTGACTTCCTTCTTCGTGTCAGGTCAGCCACTGATGATGGTTTCCTTCAGTTGGCGAAGAGTGTCATCTTGAGCAGTTTCTGCTTGACTGACGAGAAAGGCCATGCTTAACCACTTCATGCTTCTGCATGTCCACAACGAATTGGAAAATGGAAAAGACATGATAGAGGTTATCAATCTGTTTGTGGGAGACAACCACCCAGGTGTCTGTGTTTGCCTCTGAGGCAACTTAGACAGAGTAAGATTTCCACGAGCTTACTATTACTCTGACAGGTGTGACATTTGTTAGTTTCAAGATAGGAGAACATTACAATGGGGTCTCCGAACCCAAACCCTTTTCCTTTTTAACTAGACCACCCTCGCCCCTCCCCTTGTCTCTCAAGGTTTATATTTCTGGATCACTACGTACTGTCCTATGTACTTTTAGTCCAATGTTAATTAACATGGTACAAAGAATTGAAAGTTCCTGCTTTTCTTGGAAACAGCATCTGAGACCCTGTTGATATATTGCATATGATGCAAAGTAAACGCGAAATAGAATAAATTTCTTTTGTCCCTTTAAAAATGTTTACTGAGACTATGTGCGATGAATAAAATCCATTCAATGTCTCAACTGAAACCACGGATTTGCAGAGAAAAGGCGAAAAGAGCTTTGGGTTTTCAAACGAAGTAATGTAATAATGCTATACAGGGGAGTGGGGACGCTAGTTGGTGATCAAATTTAAAACGACTGCCGATAGTAAAACGTTAGACATTTCTTAAGGCCAACAAAAGCCCTAACGAATTATTTTACTTTCGTACGAGACGAAAAATGGATAGTATCAGAATTGATGTATAGCCCACCCACTCTCTCCCCTCTCCCCCACTGGGAACGTTTCTTCAAAATGAAAGACCTAAATTCTGCGAATTCAGAAAATAAAAATAAATATCTGGATTAAACTCGAATATCGTATTGTTGATAGCGTATCGACAGATTTTAACCTCATTTTATAACTCGTGTAAATCCTTCTTAGCTTTCTATATATTTATACAAGAACAACCGTCTCATAAGCAAAAGGAAACTTCGAGCTATTTGTTAATAATAGTCGGAACAGACTGAGATAAATCAAAGAATAGGCCGCTCTCGATATATTAAAATTCAGCTTGATAGTGAGGCCTAGAGGACACTAACAAAATATATGAATAAACATGTCGTTACATTACCTTTGTTTGTGTCCTCTACGCCTCACTGCCAAGCTGAATTTTAATACATCGAAAACAATCTAATGTCACAGTTTTCGCAGTGTAAATTTCTCAGAAAGACCGCGGCTTCGTTAAGATCAACTTGCGTATGCATCGTTTTCTAAGAAATGCGGTTTTCATAAAAAGTGCTTTAGAAAATAGGACAAGTCAATTTTTCTGTCATAAATAAAATTTATTATTAATATCAGAATACTGTCACGCTGTAGTCAAAAGCGGAAAATACAAAGCAATCTATGATTTCATGCAAAGGCGTTGCATTCAATTGGTGTTCACTATTTCAACTCATTGCCTTGTATCCGTAGACGAGTATTAAACGTACCTGGATGAAAGGCCATGTTTGACTGTTGGTAAAAGCATTTCTCGCCCGGATAATTTCAGTTTTCAGTTTTTTCTCAATGAAAATATTAAAGTGGAATAAAACACCAGTCGCAGTATAGCCCAAATTTCAGTCGTGAGTCATCGCCTCAGTACTTCGTCAAAACGCAGAAAGATGAATATTTTAATGTTGCATATAACATTTTTCTTCGGTTCTTCTATGAATGCCGTCGCTCAGGGCAAAAGTTTCCCTTTATAATATAACTAGAGTATCAGGGAGAAAACTTGATTTGACCTGAAAGAAATTTAACTCCTGTTACACAGTTGACCTCCTATTTTACATGTTTATCTGTTTCACGTAAACTGTTGACCGTAACTATATGTATCCAAGTCTCTTTTCATCCCGATCTTCAAAATAATATTAAGCTAACAGTGGAAGGGAGGTCTGTCCTCGATAGCGTAATGCAGACGACACATGGTTTCCGAGAATAAGCTTTCGGGGAAGTCCCTAAATTTGCCCTGACAGGTG